GGACTCACGCTAATCAAGCATCCCAAAGGCAATAAAAACCTACTACATCCACGTTGTTATCCATGCGCTGGATAACGCTAAAAGTAGGAATAACTTATAGTTAAGAGAATAGTTAGGCCAACATTCATAGAGTTAAGAGAATGGTTGCACCGCAGACACAAACAACCTCGCTTGTCTGTGTTCTTACCGTGTCTAAAAAGGCTTTTCATTTCCAGGTTCAAAAATAGGAGTTCTTATTTAAAAAAATCATCTTGACCCTAGAACCCAAGGTCAAGGACAAGGTCACCGTTGGATGGCCCCTTACCAACTGTACAACTTTTATCTGAAATATTTTTTGCTATCAACCCTATCTTTGGAATAGTTCGTGTGGATAGATTAAATGGACAACTTGATCTTAAATTGACCCCTAGGAGTCATTTTGACCCATAAGTAAATAACATATCTAAACGCATAATTTTCCGTGCTTTTTATTTCCGAGGTAAAAATAGAGGTTTCCATTAAAATAAATCGCCTTGACCCCTAAATGACCTTGACCCCAAGGTCAAAGACAAGATCATCGTTGGATGGCTCCCTACCAATTCTATAACTTTTATCTAAAACATTTTTCGCTATCAACCCTATCTTCGCAGTAATTCGCGTAAGTCGATTAAAACCCGATGGTTTATCCTGTAGAAACAACAGATGTATACTTTATAAATTTTTTTATATATAATATGTATATTATTTTTTATTGATATGTATATTATTTTTTCTAATAGAAACTATTCGTAAATGTCAGCGTTTGCTGATTTTACTTGAAAATTTTAGATTACTTAATTCCAATATTACATCATATTTAAAAATTCTCACTGGCACTGATGTGACTCGAATTTAGACCCTGAGGCATCTCTGGATTATGAGTCTGTTGTTTTAGACACTACACTACTTCTTCGATCGATATAAACGTTTTATATTTTGTCTATGTGTTGCAATTAACACAGTAATATAATTTTTTGATAATATGATTTAATTTTAATAAGAATTATATTTTTTGTACTTTTATTGTTAATTTAATCCTTAGCTAACGAGGTTTCTACAAAATCTCGCACATTCCATTTCGTTATCTTTAAACTTTTAGAGTAAACATTTTTTTATTATTAACTGTTATTAAATAGACAAAGTCATAAAAGACAAAACTGAATAATTATAAAAGAATACAATTAAATAAAATAAAAAATCCTCCTTATCACACGTATAAGATTTAATTAAATTAATTAAATTTATGTATAAATACATATATAAATCAACGCTTATTATTAGCGATGGAGTATCTGACTAATGTAACTGTAAAATGTAAATAAAATTAGCTAATAGTAATTTTTCACGGATTCTCAGAGTATCCCAAGTAATGTTTCGCAAAATATTCATTATAATAAAGTTCTAAGGAATATTTTAAAATGAATTAGGCTCAGATAATTCTTCAGGAATTCTTCAGATATTCATTTTTCTAATTTTTCAGGTGTTCTTTAAAATAAATTCTTTATGAACTTCTGTTCATCTTTGTGCTATTTGGGCGGCCATGAACATTTCGAGCCAAGTAGAGCGATATTTAATTTTCATTGTTTTACAAGCGTAAAGCAGCAAGTAGCTGTAGAAAGTAAGTTTAATTTCAGCTTTATTTTAAGCCTGTAGTCTCAGCTCATTTTTTCATTTTTTATTTTTTATTCACTCATGCAAGACAATTTTCAATAAGTTTCGAATTATTATTTAGTAACATTTTATTGACCTTAAGTAAAATAGTTCGTAATGAAGTTATTTATGTTAAAACACTATGAAATAAATTATGATTATTCTGATTATAATTATGAAAAATAAGTTACGATTTTTTAACATAAAAGTGGTACTCAGAAACGACTAATTTCCAGATGTTTATATTGCTTTTTTCCTTCTTTTTGGGTTTTGAAAGACTTTCCGAAGTACTGCGGGCGATTTTCTAGGCATCCCGTATATTTAATATTTTCTTTTAGTAACGAGTGTATGAAAAAATTTCAATAAATAATACATTATACAAGAAAGTGAGCTCAACGTTTAATTTGTTGCTTTTTAGTATATTTAGTTTGCGTAGATAAATTAATTTTGAAAATTTTTTATCTTTAGTTTTTTATAATTTAAACATGTATCATATAACTAATCAAAATTATAATCAATTATTATAAAAGTAATAGTTTATAGTCTTACAAGTATACATTATATAATTCTATCAATAATTAAAGGTAAATGTAATAGGAATATTAAGAAACCGAAAGAGAAAAGATGGGACGTATATGTCCCACTATTTCGCAAAGAGTTAAATAATGTAATTCGGATAGATTTCACCGTAGTAGCCGATACTATGTGGCGTGGTACATTGCAGCGCTGCATGTATCAGTTTTATTTTTTAATCTTGTTCTACCACTCTATTTAGAGAATATATATGAAAGAATAAGTAATCTATAAATGTGTGTGTTTTAGTGAAAATATGGTTGATGTTACTTAAAAACATGTCCCTAAAAAAATCAAAATTAAAAAAAATTTTGATGTATTTATTTTTATCGGAAAAATTATTTAAAATTTGTTTAAACAATTGTTTTATTCATCTCCATAATATATATTTTTTTCATAAGAATCGGTTTAGCCGTTTTCAAAGAAAATTATTTTTTTGTATTTCACTTTTCCCTTCCATAATTTCTATAAAAATACTATTTTAAGATTACTATTTGGAGTAATTTCATACCACATGAATGTCAACTTATGAATGATACCAATTTGGGCCTAATTTGTCTACGTTAGACTATATTTTTTGCCTTTTTCTTATATGACAAGTAATTAAATTAAATATTCAATTGTATTTAAATTTTATATTCCTACCAACTATAATTTTCTTAAGCATATAAACCGAAAGTCCTGATTCTTAGGTTAAGAGTATATAGGTTGTATGTAGGTAATTAAACATTAAAAAGTGATTAATGTTAAAAATAGCTTCAGTATGCTATATAAGATTAAGATGGCTTCACGCACTCGACATTTTATAAATGAGTAATTAATTCGAGATTTATTTGCGATATGAATATATCAGATTGCAACTTAAAAACGAATTATCCTATGAATTACGCGAATCCATATTTTTTTACGAAAGATAAAATATTTGATTTCTTTAAAGTCTTTTATAGAAATTATTTTAAGCATATTTATGTAGAGTGCTTTGTTAAATTATACATGTGCATGGAGAAGCAACAGCAAAATATGAAAGACTATGAAGACCCTATGGTAAGAGGATCACTCGCATAGCATTTTTAAGAAGCATCGAGAAGTAGCACCTGAGATTATCGCGACAAGAGGGTGGTGATATTTAACATCTGAGTAGCGCGGTGTGACTCGCGAGAAAAGAAATACAAAACATACAGTCGGCCTGCTACAATTATCACAAACTATATCACTAGAGTAGTACGAGGCTAACTATCAGTTAACTAAATTCGAAGTCGGGATAAGACTTGCATTATATGCAACATGACTGCTGCAGCACACGCGCGTGCGTATGTGCATAATCACAAAGAGATACATATAGGGTAAGCCAAAAGTTCCAGGACCTCAAAATATCTTGAAAAATATAAGTTTTATAAAAAAGTGTCAGATAAAAGTTTTAAAAGATAGAGTTTTAAAAAAATCTATTTACTGTTCTTATCAATATAATTTGAATGACGTCAAGGTTACACACACACACACACACACACACACACACACACACACACACACACACACACACACACACACACACACACACACAGAGCAAAGTCAACTTGAATTTTTTAAATAGAATCATCTTGTTCATTGCATGTTCTAGCCTTTTTTTCAGACCTTTCCAAAACATAATTTTATCTATTTTGGGTCAGTCGTTTAGAAATTATCGAATTTTTTGTGATAAGATATCTAGCCCCCGAAGGCAAAGTGGGAGCATGATCCAGACAACAAAGGCAGAGTTAGTAAATGTTCTGCTAATAAAGGTAAGATTGGTGGTAGATTTAATCAATAAATGGCTGACTCAAAGTAGATAAAATTATAATCTTTTAAAAAGTCCTGAAGAAGAAAGAGAGAGAATATACAATAAACAATAAAGAAAACTCTATTAAGAAAATTCAAAGTGAATTTGGCTCTGACCTTAGTGGCGTCATTTAAAGTCAAACTGATAAGATCAGTAAATAGATTTTTTTAAATTCTGCTACTTTTATCTGACACATTTTATCGGTCTACCATTTGATGACCCTGATACTCAAAGAGTGATTTAGTTTGTTATGAGCATGGCTCGCCGGCAGTAATAATAAAAAAATCCGCTTTTTATAAAACTTTTTTTATAACTTATTTTTATAAAATTTATTTTATAAAATTTATATTTTTCGAGATATTTCGGCATCTCGGAACTTTTGGTCTATTAATATATAGCGTGTAATACATTATATCTTTTCTCGTCATACGGAATATACCGTCGAGCGTTTTTTTGCATTTGTACAGAGAGAGAAAGCAAAACAGCAGAGAACAGGAAAGAACAAACACAGAATTTCTTTCTCATCTCAGCAAGGATAAGGTCCTTCGAATCCGTGCGACATGTGTCGCAATCGCTAAAAGTGAGTGAGAAACTCGTGTACTCCGTTGTTCTTTAGAAGAATGGTATCATTAAAAAGAGAATTTTCTCACGCTGTGCTAAAGCTGCGAGATGACTAGAGATTCTCATAGACGAAGAGTGCGACAAGGCAACACGTAATAGTGGATGACGGGAGAGAGTGCGAATGTAGACGAAGCGGATGAGAAAGAGAGTAAGATAGGAGTGAAAATAAGTAGAGTTAAAGAGGAGGTGAGGAAAAAGATCAAGAGAGAGAGAGAAAGAGAGAAAAGGGAAAGAGAGAGGGGGACGGAGAGAGGGAGAAGGGTGGAGAAGCTTGCGCGAGTAGCGGAGAAATGTGTAGAGGAGGAGGAACGATCGGTGGCGAATGTGGCGTTTGGAGTATGATACCCGGCAGTTGTAGGTCGAGCAGTCTCGGTTTCCGCTCGTGCTTTATTCGCAGATTTTTTATTATCACTGCCGGCGAACCGTGCTCACAACAAACTAGATCACTTTTTAAGTATCGGGGATATCAACCGGTAAAATTTTGGCTATTCATTTATCCATCTATCGAAATTGGCTTAGACTGCTCAGTCACCATTGCTGACGACGACGACTACAACGACGCCTCTCCGCCAATACGTGAAAGGCGACGCGAGAGTCCTCGCGGCAGCGGCGGCGGCGGCGGCGGTGACGACGACAACGACGACGACGAAGACGAAGATAACAACGACGACGACGACAAGACAACGGTATCACAGTCACGCAAAACGTGTGTCACTAAGCAGGTTCGACGGAGGCAACTACTAGAATTCCATTCCTGCGGAATCTACAAACGCGACGTTGGACCGCGTACGATGACGAGGTCGCATCCACAATGACGTCGATGGCGATTAGTCGTCGCGATTTAGTGAGAGTGCACCGAAACTCGTGATTAAACATCGATTGTACATACTAAAGTGAACATATCATCGTGAATGCATTGTAGAAGAACGAAGAAAGATCCTCAAGGAAAACATTAACATTAAGCGCACGAATATCTCGCTGTGAGGCATCTACTGAAAAAAGCAATTACTCTCTCTTCTCTCTTTCTCTCTCTCCCTGTTTATTAGATATCCTTTCACTGTACGTCGAAACCAAGCTGCCTGATTTGTCGGAGCAACATCAGAATACCGATATTCCACGATCATCGGACGACGAGAGAAAACTATGACAAAACTCCAATTCAGTGAGGCGTCATCGACGCGAAGAAGGGGCGGACAGTGTTCGACAGGAAGGGTTTAGCGGATTCGCACGAGAGTCGCCAGTATCATCGCCCCATCGTAGCACTGAGCGACTACTGAGAGCACGCGCCCCGGCGGCCCTTGCCGTCGAGACGTGGTCGGCCGGCACACAGTCGGCGGTCGGCACGGGCATAGGGAGGACGATGGCATTGCGCGTCGCGCACTCCCCTAGGAAGCCGACAGTACAGAAAAGCTCGCACGCGGATCCGCACCACAGCGCGCACGACACCTCAGCGATCAGTCGACGTTGCCCGCGATTATTAGCGGTTACAGCAGCGACCGTGCACCGACAGCAGCGACTGCGGGAACAGACAATTTCCAGCGACGCAGCAGGACTAGTGGCTGCCATCGCACGTTCTTCGCAATTCGGTCATCGCATCGTTTGGCGTTCCATCGTTGTCGGGTGGTAGTTTTTCTTCTTTTCCCCCGGGCGAGAAGTCAAGGACGAGAGAGAGAGAGAGAGAAAGGAAGAAAGAGAAAAAGTGAAGGAGGGCAAGAGAGAGAGAGTGTGTGTGTGCGCGCGTGTGCGCGTGTGCTGTGTACGCGAGAGCGAGAAAGAGAGAGAGAGGGAGGGAGAGGATTTTGTACACATCGAGCAGAGCAGTCACTGTGTTCGGAGGGAAAGTTTCTGCGGGGAGGGAGGGGCCGGAAAACACGCGCGAGGATGATCGATAACGCCGCTGAGTCGGAGTCCGCGATCGGCAATCGGGCCTGCTAGGAGAGAACAACGTAGCGATCCGTCCGCAGCGATTGTAGCAAAAGAGGGTGAATAGCGGCGTGCTCGCGCTCAGCTCCGTGTATAACGTTATCGTTGTTGTCTCGACACGACTCGCGGAAACCCGAAACATGGGCACGCGCGCGCGTTGATTGACTCCGGCGAAGGTCGCCACTAGTAGCGATAGCGAGCTGCGAGAGGACAGAGAGAGAGAGAGAGAAAAAAAAGAGAGAGAGAGAGAGGGATAGTAAAGGACAGAGTGCGCGACCAGCCCTTCCTCCCCTTCTGGGGCAAGCCGCCGCCGTCGAGGTAGCGAGTATGTCCGGCGAGCGACGAGGAAGACGCGGTGAGAATGTCGCGAGGACATCGCGAGGAAGCACGCACGCACGAGGACCCGTTATCAATTCACGACTGTGATTTCTAAGCTTAAGGTTACATTATCACGTATCTAACATTGTCAAGAGGATAAAACAAACAAAATCGTCCATTGTGATATTATGATATATACAGCGAGAGATCGCGCAAGGGGGGGAGGTGTAGGCATCCACGTGCGCTCTCACGGGGAATCAGCAACTGGGTCGCATGAATGAATGAATGAATGAACGAACGAACGAATGAACGAACGAACGCCACAATGCGAGGTGCGATGGCGAGTGCGGCACGCGACGCGAGTGTGTTCGATCGGGATAATAATGGTTGATGGCGGTGTTTGCGCCGAATCCACGGACTGTGATACACTGATAACTTGAAGCCTGTTATCCGATCTCTGTGACGACGACAACGTCGAGAAGGCGCTGGCAAATTGCGCCCGCTGTATTACTGGGACGTGCAGCGCTGCGAATGATCGGGACGGGATAACGAATCACCTTCGATGTGGAATTTCGTTCATCACTGTGCCATGATAAATCGCCAGGTGCGTATCTAGGAAAGATGAAATGCAAGGTGTTCGATAATAAACGCGTTTAAGATCAAATTATCCTGAAGAATTGGGTGGACTTCAATAGGAACGAAAAAAAGATTATTTTTTGAGAAATAGATTGAAAATTATAGATGAGTGAAATAACAGATGCTATTAGATTTTTATGAATTTCATCGTGAATTAACTCTTATAGTGCTGAACAACGATATATCGTTGTTAGCAACATTTGCGAAAAGTGCCACCGACGATATATCGTTGCGCATACGATGCTGCAGGACTAATTTTATAAGACGTTATAAATGATTGACTTTTTCTTCAGAAATTTGTCTCAAACTCTATCAAACTGCATCAATTGATCCGGTATTTTACGCTTAGGTACATTTTCGGTTGGCACTAAAAGTTAATGTAGCTTTAAATGTTTTACTAGTAACACGTGCTACAAATCTTTTGAACATTTTCTGAATTTTCCATTTAAGATTTACAGAGAATAAAAACTTTCGGCCTACTTGTATATGAAATACATTTATTAAACTACTTTCGTTTTTAATCCTTGATGAGAAATCGAGAAGTTATTCGAACAATTGGTAGTAAATTTGAAAGTATCGCGACAGGGTTCACATAACACACAACACGAAGCAAAAGAGGAACACATGTATACACCGAAGCAGAAATGTTTGAACACTATTTTCACGATATATTTTAATACATATCCGATATCCAATAAAAAATTTATTTTCAAATAATTACTCAAACACAAATTCTTTTATTGAGTATTGACTACGTTTCGAAATTCATCGAAAAAATAACATTCAAACTGCTTTCGAGTATATAGATTAGCATAATAGCTTTAATATTTATTACCCTAGCTTAAGATTACCTGAATTTTTTTTGATTACAGATATCATATATACTTATTTGTGCATATAATTATTGATTATTCAAGAAAAGTTATTCAAAGAAAATTCATAGAAAAAAATGCGGTAATTAGTAACTTTCTCAAGTCAATATTTTTACAAAAATTGCCATTGTTAAAGTTTATTTTACAGAAAAACACTTGTTGGATTGTTGGCCATTTTTTCAATAACTTTGGTTTAAAAACTTATTTAAAAAATCGATTATATATAACACTTAAATAGTTCAGAATATATTTTCTATGAAAAAAAAATAAAAGTTTCATAGAAACGGTTTCACTTCCACCATTATTTTGTTTTTAGTTTTCTAATTTATATAACATTTTTATTAATATATAATGTAAACTTATATCAAATTTCATAATAAAATATTAAAAAATAAAAAAATTACAGAATTTTAAATTTAAATTTTTCATGCGCGCAGCAAAGGCATTTATCTACTTAAATGAATACCATACTTTTTGACAAAACAAATAAATTTTTATCAATTTTGAAAATTTAACGAATAAAATTGTTAAATTAATAGATAGTCGTTATTTCTGCATTTTTTTGTAATTCTTTGTGAAACGAATTTTAATCTGTTTTTGATTAAACCGAATTAAACTGAACAGGATCCCATTCAGTTTGATATCAATTTTAGTTTGCAGTAAACAAACTTATTTAAACATATACGCGGTATCGAATATTGAAATTGCAAATATTTCGTGAATATTTTTATTGCCACTATTAACATTGAATATTTGAGATTTGAGGTATTATAAAAACGATAAAAGGAAAGGTAGGGCGTGCAATTCTCAAATGACCTGGCTGATATTTTCGGCTTTTTCGAAACCATTTGTATCTCGAGGGTAGTGCACTTGTGCTGTACTGCATTTTCAAGTACGAGGAAAAAGTCATGATTAAAAATGTAGCGTGGCACAGGGACAATCGTAACGAGTTTGCAAGAAAGTTGTTCACCTTTCATTCGCGAAAGACTGAAGGACTCCGATAATACAACGCATTATTCTACGTAACTCCACGTTATCCCAGCGGAAATTACCTTTGCATTGTTTTGATGTGCATATATGTAGAAATTAGGTGCACGGATTATCAATTAACGCGTCAACATTAACAATCATATTTTGTTACAATTAATTTCTATTTTTTCACTAAAAATATTTTACTGTTAACATTTATAACCTGATTTTTGCTTCTTAAAGAATTAAAAGATGTTAAACATTAATTGAGATATATAAATTAATAGCAAAATTTTAATTTATTAACATTTATTTTTAAATATATAATGTGCACTTTAGCATAATAAACAGAAACTAATAACTGTTGTAAACAATCTGGCAGTATTATATTATGTCGGTAATATTATTATTATTGCCTTATAATGTTCACTATTCGCGTTACACATATATGATACATCGATTCTTATATTAGGACCTTAACTTAGTTTCCGCCTAAAAAATACTGAGAAAAAGCATTTATTGTAAAAAATTTATTTAAATTATTTCAATGAAAGTATTTTCCATCACTTTCTACAACTTTTTGCCATCTTTCTGGCAACT